TCTCTAGTAATTCTGAAACATTTCTTACAAAATCTAGCATCTTGTAAAATTTGTTCAGTCCATCGTGCTTGTACATAAATGTTTTAAAAGACTGTTCAGTCCACTGTGTATGTACATAGATCTTTTCAAAAATTAAACAATCTATAATGCTTGAACGCAAAATCTTTTAAAAGATTGTTCAATCCATTCTCCATGTACATAAATCTTTTTGAAGGTTGTTCTGTTCACCCTGTATGTACATTAATCTTTTAAAAGATTGTTCATCAATCCTGCATGTACATAAACCTTTTAAAAGATTGTTCAATCCATCCTGCATGTACATCAACCTTTTAAAAGATTGTTCAATCCATCCTGCATGTACATAAATCTTATAAAAGATTGTTCAATCCATCCTGCATGTACATAATTCTTTTAAAAGATTATTCAATCCATCCTGCGTGTACATAAATCTTGTACATGATTTAAGACAAACACCTCTTCAGCGAGAATTTGACACAGACTATACACTAAAAACTGGCGATTAAAGATAAAAGGTGAGAGGAATGACTTCACTGCACTAAGCTTTATCCTATATGGCTCAGTCTCGCTCTGCAGAGTGGCTGGCTGTCTGCTGTGAGCACCGTACAAAGCACAAACTTACTGGTCACACAGGGGGATCTCTTGGAACTGGGCAGTGTGTGTGTCTCCACAGGTGTACTGACCATAACCCCAGTGTGTTTACCATCCTACAAAGTGAAGGGGCAGTTTGGACTTTCACTTTACAGAGTTGTCAAACCCGAAGGGCATTTCTCAAAACTCTCTTTCCATAAATATGATGAAGATATCTCATCATTGGTTGCCGCGTAGGTAGGCTATCACTTTTGTCATCTCATACGATCACTAAAATCACAGATCAGGTCAATCACATATCAGCCCAGCTTTACGACTAAGCCATCCAGGCATTTATCTCTTTCTATGCCTTCCCCTTCTTTTCTTTCCATAAATCTTGCTGGTCATTACCAAGCCCTCAAGCCCACACCTTCTTATAACATGTCTCCAAAATATCAACTGTCTCCTTCTACTAATTTGTTTAACTAGTTTATGGTTCATCTGTCGCGAAGAGGACTGCCTGGTTTGTTTTTCTTTCAATCCATGATACTGTTTGCATGCTTCTCAGAAACCACATCTCTGCTACTATGGTTTTTGTTTGTTTGTTTTGTTAGTGGACCTGCTTAATGTCCCTGTCTCACATGCATATATAACCAAACTGGTTGTATATAGCGCTACTAAGATTCTTTTTCTCACTGCAGATGGTGAGTGAATTTAAATTTATATACCATAGAATTATCCTAAATATGCAGAGGACCAATGAGCCTTGTTGGTCATCATATTTATGTGTAGAGGACAAAACAATACATAGAGCAAAGACTACACTCAATCTAAGCTACACACATACAACACTGTGTAAGAACTGAATATCTGTGCTTCAAAAAGACTATTTAAAAAAAAACAACAACCAAAGAACCTAAGTACACATCTCAGATGTGTAATGGTTAACTAAGTATACCTAATCATATTAGTAACTGATGAAGAAACAGTTAAATCAATGAACAAAAGATGTAAATGAGCCGATGGATGAAGCCAGGGCTACAACTGGCGGCCTAACAAGGAGTCTGCGGATCAATGCAAGTTGTACTGTATTAATGATCTTTCTAAACTGAGGCTCTAGCTTCTTGCCTGTGACGATTCCCTACATTTTCACAGTTCTGGCCCCCTGAGTAAACCTAGCTGAACAGAACTGGATGAATCAACACTATACCGGTAACTGGTGTGTCGGGTGTGCAGCTTCTGGTGGGAGGTTAGCTTCAAACATGGAACCATTTGCAGCTAAACCAAAGGGGAACCGTTAGGTTCCACGGTCAGAACCATTGGATTAATTAATGCAACCCTTATACACCAGTAGCTTCACAAATGTAAGTATGTGCTGATTAGGCATGTGGTTAAACAAACTGTTTCATGTCTGTGTACATACTTAAGTGTGTATGCGTGTCTGCCAGCTATGTCAACACAGCAGTTAGCAGGCCTGTCTGCTGATCCTGCAGACATATGTCCACAACTCCTAATGAGACTTTTCTAAAGGTCTTGTTTCCCACACCTACCCAGTCTTATTACCCCCCACCCTCCAATACTTCGCTGAAGTAATCTGAGGTCTGAGGAAGTGAAGAGAAAAGATGAAGAAGAAGAAGAAGAAGAAGAGGACCCAGCCTAGACTACCACTGTCATTCAATTCAGTCAGTCGGGGGTTTTCCTCTACGTGGCCTTTTACGGCTGAAATCAATTCTGGGGTCACTGCTCGGTGTGCTTGACCTAGCTGTGAAAAGTCTGCCACACAGACGTCACCTCATTCTGAAACTTCCTACTCCACTCTTACACTTGTTGGACTGACAGGCCTATAACACTGTACTGGACCTTCATTTGCCGATGAATTTTTACAGGTTTTATGCCTTCACTGACTTTTAAAAAAAATTGAATACAGAATGCTGCTCCTCTTTGGTGCATGTCAAAAGTGGGGCAGCCATCTTTAAATTGTCATTATGACATTATTATGACAACAACAGTTACAGGTTACAAGACAATGGCATGGTTATTGTAACTTGTATCACACATTTCTGGAACCACACATATCTGTCAGAAAATCAATCAGTTTGTCCACTCCAGGCTGCTACCTAAAGGTTTACCATACCCTCCTGAGACTTATAAATGTCAGTCTGGACGGCAGAGCAACAAGGCAGATCCCAGATGCATGCTCAGTCTCCAAAGAAGTTATAATTAGGGCAGCAGTAATGCCTACACCAGATTGGTGTCATCTGCAGCCCTATGGGGACCAGATACTTGTCAACTGTCATTCCCAAAATACACAACACATCTGGCTGACAAGGAAGCAGACGTGCTGAACCACACAGGGCCAAGAATCCAAGTTCAGGTCTGGCTACATGCCTCCGTGGTGACCCCTAGAACAGCGGTTCTCAACCTATGGGCCGTGACCCTTTTTATGGGTTGAACGACCCTTTCACGGGAGGGGGGGGGGGGGGGTGGGGTTGCCAAAGACCATCGCAAAACATATTTTCATTGAAGTTATGAAGTAGCGACGAAAAAAATGGTATGGCTGGGGGTCGCCACAACATGCGGAGCTGTATTAAAGGGTCGCCACAACGTCAGAAACTGTATTAAAGGGTCGCGGCATTAGGAAGGTTGAGAACCAATGTCCTAGAAACAGATTCCCAATTGGGAACCTGGCAAACATAGATAGGATTCATGTTCTCTTCGAAGTGGTGGGGTGGGGGTGCATCTGCTTTAGAGGTGAGAAACCATAAAAAAAAGAGTCTGCCCACATACAAGCTTGATCCCTAAAACAGATGTGCACAAAACACTCAGAAAAGTCCCGGAACGAGCTCACAGTCCAGAAGTGGATGAACAGCCAGGAGTTTTTGCCAGTTTACAGCAGGTGAACGTGATTTAACTGATAAGTGCTTTGAACGATGAGAGTACCCACTGCAGATGTCACTGCACACTGTTGAAAGCAAGAGGAGACTTGGCCAGTGGAGACGACCTCCTGCCTATGCCCATCATAGGCTGCCCTCCCTGTGCTGTCATGGGCACGTTCAAGGAAGCACCCATCTGACCTGCAGTCTGTACTGGAAGTTGGGCATTTGACGGAGATGACCCAGTAGAATGTGATGCTCCAGCTGCCCTTCCAGCATCCTGAACTTCTGATGACGATGATGAGGAAGAGGAAGCAGCTGAGGGTGTGGTTGGAGTCTTGGGTGTGTTCTGAATGAGCCCAAAAAAAAAATAAAAAAAATGCTTCAGTAATGTTTTTTCCTCAATGATTTTGTTTTACTGTATTCTTTCTAAACTGTTTACTTTCCTTTTCCTACCTTTTTATGCTATTCCAAAAAACCCCAACAGAAGTGGTCCTTCACTTTTCACACTTCTTCATGTAACGCCCCCTCGACCCCACCCCAATTTCCAGTTGTTCCCATATTTACCCCTCTGTCATGTTTTCTCATTTATATTTCCGTATAAGTTCCTCTTTTCCTCTGTTCCGTTTTTGCCTAAACATGTCTGCCTTAAGCTGCTTTGTTCATTATTCATATATATATATTTTTCTCTGTTAGTACCCACCTAAAATAGCATACACCTTCTTTATTTCTTGTTTAGCCCAAATACAATTTGAGCAGGCCTTTTATGATGACTGATTTAATGTAACAACTATCCAAAATATAAGAGGAGTTAAAGCAATGATATGATGACTGAGTTCATGGAACAACCAGAGTTAGAGGCAATCAGGCTATCATCAGTCAGGGCTCCAACTTCATGGCAAACAGGTCACCTCATAACTGCTCCATTCCTTTGCAGTGGAAAAAACACACAAAATGTCTATCACTGTCCTATGTGAAAAATCAGGAATCCTGGCAAAATCCAACAGCCTGCACATGCATTAAATGCAGCCAACAGATGTGAAATATTTAACAGTCTGTCACTAGAATTACAGGTGATAGTTGACGAGAGTGGTAGTCATGACACAGCAGCAGGTGCACAAGCATTACTGCAAAAGGAACACATGGCAGTTTTGTGGCAACCAGCCACTCACCATTTACTGAATATACAGTTCCCCCAACACAAATCTTTTTGAGCCTATACAAAAAGAATTCCACAGCTCACAGTGTCACACTGTGTACTTTATACAGGACTTGGCTGATGGAACCAGATTTCACCTTTATCACATTAGTTGTGCTCCCCCCCCCCCCCCCTTTCCTCCTGCCAAACCTCACACTCTATACCGCAAATAGTGGTAACTACAGACAGTAATTGGCAGTTCCAGTTTATCGCTGGGGACCGAAACACCAGACTTTCACTGGATTACTGGGGAGAACAAGGCCCGTTACACGAAGGTGAGGCAGGCTGGAGAAAAACCTGTGTTAATGAAACAAACCAGGCAGGAGAAGAGTTAGATAACATCAACTCACCTGCACCACAGCCATCATCTTTTGCCGGACCTCTCGAATCTTCAGCTGCAAGCAAGTCTTGTTGGGAAATATCTCAGAGTACTTGTTCTGAAATCCCATTGTTGCTTGACCTACAGAGATCATGAAAGGGAGGGAAGAAGTTTTATAAGTGTCAGTGTTTACAAATTAGGGGGTGGGGGTTGGCGGGTGGGGTGGGGGTTGGCGGGTGGAGTGTGGCAGTTACCTTAACTCTTTGAGTCCCAGGGGGTTTAGCATCACAGGCCCAGGGGGTAGTAAAGGAAGTAATAAAATCGGCGCATCATGCGTTCATTGGGCTTCTAGGTAGGAAGCTATGAACGCATGATGCGTTCCTTGGGACTCAAAGAGTTAAAGGCACTAATAACAGAACTGTGAACTACTTCTTCCTAGCGCTCATCGCAGAAAGTTCTGGCTGTTCTCCATTTCTGCACTTTAGTCATATTCCAGAACTTGAATTTTGAGTGCACTTCTGTTTTACAAAACTGGCTTGTTTTACAAATCCAGCTTATCTGTATTCAAACTGTTGGTTCTTGTCTCTCTGGCATGCTGGGAGGGGGGAATTGTTGGGTGTAACTAAAATTGTTGAGCAGAACTAAAATAACTAATAAACTAGAAAAATTCACTAAGTTGTGCCTGAGCAGAACAGAAAGAACTAAATGGCATGGTAGAATCACTTTAGGAGAGAACTTAGCTTCTAGTAAATCAAGAGGTGAAGAAAATATGCTACTGTTGGAAAATCAGAGAACAAAATTAGAAGGGCCTTACAGTGGAACCCATAGGGGCATTGAACGAACGAACGAACGAACAAACAAACAAACTTAATTTTAAAAGGGTTCAGAACTGGTCAAGCAGACCCATCTAACATTCTGCCCATTGAGGTTTCCCTCTGTTCTTACATTTCATTCATCCATCAAGTAATATTAAAAATTATCAATTGTATCAAAATATTCAATACAAGCACTGGAATGTGCTCAGGTCTAACTACAGTAAACCGTAGTAGTTGTAACAAATCTAGGGAAAATGTGCGCTATTTCCAACACGTTTTATCTTCTACGGGGGCACATAATCTGTGCTCAGATAATATTCAAACAGTTTCCGACTGTATGTATAAGGACTAGTGGTATTTTGGATTTGCTGTGGCAGATAGTTCCACAATTGAGCTGCGGATTACGCCAAACTTGTTTTGTAAAAGTCTATCCTAGGTTTATTGATGTGTAATACATTTAGGTGCTTACTATGCCTTCCATTATATTTAAACAACGACCATATGTAAAATGGAGCCTTTTGAGATAATATTTTGTGAATAAGTTTCGCCTTATCGAAAAGTAGACGTTCACGAACTGGTAGCAGCATAAGACCTTTATATGTTTCAGAACTCACTGTTCCATGACTAATTAAGCAAATGGCGCGCTTTGGCAGTGATGTGAGCCGCTTGATAACAGAGTCGGAACAGCCATCCGATATTGTAGACCAATAGTCTATACATGTCTGGATGTGAGAAATATAGAATATTTTTCTTGTGATTTCATCACGAAAGTTTTCAATTTTTGCAAGCTGGTAAACCTTTTTAGCTGTTTGTTTCACAAGTACGTGTACATGACAGCTGAAGGTTAGATTTGCATCAATAACCAACCCCAGTGCTTTGTGCTCAGTTACACTTTCCACTTGAGTACCCCCAATGTAGGTTAAAGTGTTCTCTGAGAATTTAAACAGTATAGTTTTTGTCTGGTCGTTATTAGCAAAGATTTGGTTTTATGAATGTTTATTTGCATACGGTTCACACTGCTCCATTGGACTACATAATCTAATTCTTGTTGTAATGACGACTCTAGTACATTACATGTTTCAGCATATGCATAGATGGTACAGTCGTCTGCGAATAAATCGCAGGACGACGACAGACATAAAGGAAGATCATTTATGTAAATATTGAATAACAGAGGGCCGAGTATCGAGCCTTGAGGTATCCCAGTATTTAAGGTAGTGGTCCGCAATAGTGATTTACTGTAACAGATTATTTGTTTTCTATTTAGCAAAACGGATTTTATTAACTTTAATTTAATAGCCTAGGGTTAAATTTCATTGTTTCTAATTTTCTTTTAAGAATGTTATGGTTTATCATGTCAAAAGCTTTCTTAAAGTCTGTAAACACCTTGCCACATATTTTCTCATCATTAACATTCTGGTGCCAGTTTTCTATCATGTTAGTTAAGGCAGCATGGCAAGAAGGGTTTGGTTGAAACCCTGATTGGTTATCTACTATAAGTTTGTTGCGATCTAAGTGTTGAAAAGTTACATTTTCAATATGTTTCTCTAGTGGTTTCGACAGTGATGATAACAGGGAGATCGGTCTATAGTTATCCAAAATACTACTGTCTAAGGAACCAGATTTTAGATATGAATACACTTTGGCAAATCTTAAATATTAATGGGAAGTAGCCTTTGACAAGACATTCATTGTAAATAAAAGTCAGCGACTCACAAATAACTGGGGCAGCACTACCAAGGGTCCTATTGTTGATTCCGTCTAAACCGGATGTATTATTTTTTCTGAGACTGTTGAAATGCATAAATACTTTCGTAACCGACATGAGAGGTATGTCAGAAGGAATATCTTCAGAGCATTTATTTTCACAAAATGCTGACAGCAGTGATAAATCACATGGACAGTTTGGCATTGTGGCTTTTAACTCTTCTATGTTGGCTTCACAGAAATTACTGAGATCATCTGATGTTATATTAGATGTCAGCAAACGAGTTATAAAGTACCTTCAAAGAAAGGCATACCGGTAAGTAATAACACATGCAGAAAGGAACAAGAAAAAAGAAGTTAAAAAGATGGGAAAGACTTGAGGAGAGCTGCAGGTGGCAGCAAACGATATGTCGATTGGCGTGAGTTGGTTGAGGGCCTTTACTTCATTGCTGGATAAAGACAGAAAAAGATGAAGAGCTAAAATGTGAGGTAGAGCTAAAAATGTATTCGCATAATTGAAACTACTTACAGCAACTTTTAGGAAATGGGACATACAATTCACGTGGCTAATTATCCTGTTTTTAACCTCATTTACTCACTCCATCATTAACTGAATTTGTCTTCTTTCTGTTTCTTTTACTGGTTATATAATTAAGTGACTCGTTATCCCATTCTCATTTACTCATGCTCCCATTTGGGTGGGTCTTGTTACATATAACCTAGAAGCTGTCGTAGTATAGTGTTAAGATACTCCACCTACCAGTTTGAGTGTCTTAGGTTGGAAGCAGAAGGAGGAGGAGAAGGATAAGGAGAAGGATAAGAAGAAGGATAAGGAGAAGGATAAGGAGAAGGATAAGGAGAAGGATAAGAAGAAGGATAAGGAGAAGAATAAGAAGGAGGATAAGAAGGAGGAGAACGAGAAGAAGAAGAAGAATCGCACAACTAAAAATAAACAGAGTGAAATGAGACATTACTTGTGGGATAAAGTCCATGCTCGTCAAACAACTGCATGACCAGCTGGCGCCTCTGGTCCAGAATACGTCGGTTGGAGAATGCACCTGGCGAGCTCGGAGTTTTAGGCGTGCGAGGTGAGTTGATATTGACATCTTCAAAGTCTGAGGATTGAAAAAAAAACCAAAACAAATGAAGTGTGGTTTATAATCTCATCATAAATCACTACTGCCATAAAGCATCATAGGAAGGAACAATTTGTGATTTAGTGCACGCTGGCTGGCACTCTGGCTATTGTAAGTCAGTGAAGGCGCAAAGTATCTTTTTATGTTGTCTATCCATTTTGTTCATGGCAGTCCTCTTGCTCTTGTACCTGATATTCTAAGATGTAGTGCCTGTGATGGTATGTGATGTTGCTGCACTCTAACCAGATGGCCAAACCACTTGATCTGCTGCTTCTCTGAGAATTTAGTAGTGTGGTTGACTGTGGTGAAGCAGTCTTTTTCATTTTTGCCCATTTATGTCTCCCTGCCAATCAATCAATCAATCAATCAATCCTCATCACAACCAGAGTGAGACACATCCTATCTCCAATTTTGTCCTTTGCGTAGCCTCGAGTTCAGCCTCAAAGGTTCACCTCCAAGTGCCTTTGGGCCTGCCTCTTCCTTTGAAGTCCACTGCATTGCCTGTCTTGGCTGTCTCTCTTTCTTCATTCTGAGGATGTGTCCAATCCACCTCTATTTTCATTTTTTTAATTTTATTTCTAAATTTACATCTTCTGTCATTTGCTGCAATCTAGAATAGCTGATTCTATCTTCTCATGTGAACCCCCAACAATCTTCTAAAAAGTCTTCCCTCAGAATATCTGAGCATGCTTTCTGTCTGTTTTCCAAGTTTCTGCTCCGTAAAGGAGAACTGTCCTAACACATGTGTTGTATATCCTGAGTTGAGTTTTTGTGCTGTAGATGTTTGATCTCCAGACACTCTGCAGTCTGTAGTGAGCAGCATTTGCCTGTGCAATTCTCTGCTTGATTTCACCCACATCTTTCCCTGCCAGGGCTGTTCAAATGTGAATGCCACAGGTCTCTGTGTCCTCTATTGGCTGCTTGCTTTCCTCTGGCCTCTCTATACTAGTAAAGGAGTTAAAATGTAGTAAACATAGGAGAAAACATCCCCCCCCCCCCCCCCCCCACCCCAGGTCAGCTCTGCAGACAAAACAATCATAAATGATCACATGGATATTATGGCTACAAAGCCATCATCAAATTAACAATTAAAAGCAAATATTAATGTGAGAAACACATAGGGATTTGAAAAGTCTAAGCCAAGAACATAATATTTGTAAAAGTAATGTTTGGATTGTGTAAATATGGGTTCAGATTGCAAACATATAAAGGTCATCTCATGACTGAACCAACTGCTATTTTTTTCAATATAACAAACAATGAAGATGACAAAAATAAACATATTACAAATACAACATCAACCAACAATGGAAGCAAACATTACAACATCATCCAACAATGAAGTTACACACACAACATCAGCCAACAATGGAGTTTCACACAATAAAAACACAGCAAGTAACAATGGAGTTACACACAATACAAAAACACAACATCAATCAACAATGGTGATACACACAATACAAACACAAAATCAACCAACAATGGAAATACACACAATACAAACACAACATCAATCAATAATGGAGATACACACAATACAAACACAATTTAAAAAAATAATGGAGTTTCACACACACAAAAAACAACATCAGCCAACAATAGACTTGCACTAATACATACACATAAACTAACATTGAACACAACATACCAAACACTTTGGCGCTCTGAGCACTTGTACTAACAAGGTCCAGATTAAAGTTATCTCCAAAGAAACGACGGTCCTCCAGGCGTCCACTCTTTGGTGTCTTGGGCGTCGGTGTTGCTGCTTCAGACTCACTTGAAAGTTTGTTGCTGTCCCCATCTTGCCCTTCTTTGGCTAACCAATTTAAAGAAATAAGAACATACATGTAAGCATTTTTGAAACAAAAGCAATGTATTTCTGGCAGACCTGACAACAACCAGCGGAGACATTTTCTCCCAATCTTTATTCCTCAAGAAGATCACCATCATCATGTGCATAATCTAGTATTTTATCAGCTTGTGTGAATGAACATGCCTCTCCACAATCATGTGGCTAGAGAACAAGATATATAATCATGTCGTAATTGTAACTGACTCTGAAAGCATACTGAGAAAGGTAAAGACAGGGATGCTTCGAGCAGAGTGGCAAGCTTCACTGGGAAGGTCACGGGTAGTGAGCATACATTGAATCTTTTCTCCAGGCCACGCCAGAGTAGTAGCTAATAAACAGGCAGACAGATTAGCTGGATCAGCACCACTGGGTGGTGAATTGATACATGACAAGGCAGATGTGGTCAAGGCCCTTTAGGAACAAGCAACAAAATTAGTAAAGAAACAAGATTATTATGGCCCGGAGAGAATAAGGCACCTGGGTGTAACCAGAGAGTCTGGTCGGCTCACTACACTCAGAGGAAAGGCAAGACGGATATATAACCAGATTGTGACCAGTACCATCAGTATTAAAACTCTGCGCTGGCTGCTGAAGATGAGGATGGAGCACACATGGAAATGCTCCTAGTGCTGTGATGTCAATTCTGGACTCAACTCAACTCTTCACAATCAGCGATATCCAACAGCATGTACCAGCTCATGTGATGAAACCCCTTCCCTGCAATGCCATGATGACAGGCTGTCAAGAATCTTTTAAGTTGTCTTTAAGAGCCTTGCCTCTTTCAAAAAGATGTCACAAGACCCCCCCCCCCCCCCCCCCCCCCCAATGTGATACCATGTCAGAGGGGGACAATACTATCATGTCATTCCTATAATCCAGTGTGATACTAATTTGTCAAACATGATTCCTATAATCCAACGTGATACTAATTTGTCAAACATGATTCCTATAATCCAACGTGATACTAATTTGTCAAACATGATTCCTATAATCCACTGTGATACTAATTTGTCAAACATGATTCCTATAATCCAATGTGATACTAATTTGTCAAACATGATTCCTATAATCGCATGTGATACTAGGAAGGGAACAATACGGTCAAACGTCATTCCTTTAATCTCATGTGATACTACACTGTCAAATTTCATTCCTATAAGCATTTCTAATCAGCAAAGAAAGTATGTTTATTATGTATTTTGAGTATGTTATTCATCAACATCATCATAAACCACTTCTACCGTTAAGTGTCGGGGGGGGGGGGGGGGGGGGGGGGGGGGGGGGGGGGGGGGGGAGGGGGGGGGGGAGGAGAGAATTGTGATCCAGTGCACGCTGGCTGCCATTGGCTATTGTCCTGCATTTATTTATTGCTCCTAATAACACATAAGGCGTAGAGTGTCTTCAATGTTGTCGATCCATATTTTCCACGGCCGTCCTCTTGCTCTTTTAGCTGATCTTCTCAGACGTAGTGTTTGTGATGTAATTTTATCTTGCTGCATTCCAATGAGATGGCCAAACCGCTTGATCTGCTGTATCTTGATGAATCTAATACTCGGTCTCAGATGGTTAGGTCGAGTAAATAATGATACCATCAGACAAATAGTGGGAATGAAACCTTGCACTAGATTCATCGAGAAACAGCAGATCAAGTGGTTTAGCTACGGCCGATCTTCAAAACTCTACTTACTGCTATAAGTGTTGATTCAGACAAACTGCTGTTGATCCATCCCTTGATTTTATCCTCCTACTTATATTGGCTTAGGTCCTGTGAGCGCACAGCTACAAGAGCAAGAGGACGGCCGTGGAAAAAATGGATCGACAACATTAAAGACACCCTACGCCTTATATTTTATTAGTATGTTATTAGGAGAAATAAAAAAAAATGACTACAGAAAATAAGAGAAACACAATCACCAACAAACATCACATGTACATTCATTCATTCATTCAGTAGCATGTGCCTCGCGGAACCTCGCTGCCATAACAACCCTCCGGAAAACCTTCCTATCCTGAGCAAGATGTCCTGCGTCTGATACACCCATCTGGAGATCATCTGCCACATCCTGCACCCATCTTCTCCTTGGCCTTCCTCTTCCTCTCTTCCCAGGCATATACCCCTCCATTATTGTTCTCTCTAGACTTCCATGACGTTTCAAGTGACCAAAATATTTCAATTTTCTTTGTTTTATTGTCTTTACTAGCCAACCCTCTTCAATACTCAGCTCTTGAAGTATGGATGCATTTGTTCTTTTCTTCACCCAAGATATTCTTAGAAGCTGTACATACATACCCAGATTAGAAGTTTTATTCTTCTGCTTGTAGACATTGATAATTCCTCGTGGAGACTGGGCTACAGGTGTGGTTGACACCGTCTCTTCCGGGTTGAACTTGGGCAGGCACTGGAAATGCTTTTCAAACTCCACTTGCTCCAATACTCTGAAACAATAGTATAGATAGATAAACATGAAGCATCTACACACAGGCAGGCCTCAACCATATAAACATCAAGTCCATGGCATCTGACCAATACTGAGGTGGTAGGAGCTGATCAAACAGTCAACTGATGACCTGATGAGAGGTGGTGCTATGGATCTATGATGATGACCTAGCCAAAAGTGATTTCATGAAGTATCTAATTAAAGGTGATTTCATGAAGTATCTAATTAAAGGTGATTTCATGAAGTATCTAATTAAAGGTGATTTCATGAAGTATCTAATTGAAGGTGATTTCATGAAGTATATAATTAAAGGTGATTTCATGAAGTATCTAATTAAAGGTGATTTCATGAAGTATCTAATTAAAGCTGATTTCATGAAGTATCCAATTAAAGTTGACTTCATCAAATATCTAGCTAACGGTGATTTTTGAGGTATGTAACTTAATGTGATTTCCTGAGGTATCTAACTAAAGGTGACTTCCTGAAGTATCTAACGATACATCCATGAAGGTGCTCTAACAAATATCTCATTGGCGAGAAAGGCTCTCCGATGAATGGCAGATAGAAAAATGAGATGTGGCTAACTTAAGGTAATCTGGAGATAGACAGTAGAAATGGAAATGTAAAATATCATGGGATACCATAAGCAGAAAAGCAGCCGACTGGCAGTGGTGGAATCAATTGTGAGATGCCTTATGTGTCTACAGTAACATGAAGAGGATACAGAGATAGACTACCACATCTCACACTTGACACAAAATGACTATCCATAAAAAGATATACCTAACTTTCTTGGCAGAAGACAACTATCCAAAAGAATATTACATCTGCATGACCTCACTTTCTTGATAGAAAACAGCTATTCATAAGAAGATTACACCTGAATAACTAACCTGCTTGACAGAAAACATGTCTTTAGGAAGATTACACCCGTATAACTGTCCTGCCTGACAGAAAACATCTGTCCTTTAAGAAGATTACACCTGTATAACTGTCCTGCCTGACAGAAAACATCTGTCCTTTAAGAAAATTACACCTTTATAACTGTCCTGCCTGACAGAAAACATCTGTCCTGTAAAACTGACCTGTCCATCCCATCATCCTTGGATTTCTTGATGATTCCTTTCCGTGGGCTGCTGGCAACCGTGGGAGAGTTCGTTGCACTGGGGGGCTGCAGCACATGGGCTGGCACGTTCAAAGGTGGGGGTTTGTGTTTCTGTTTGGTCTAAAAGCAGAAAATATACAAGAGTCTGTGAGTCAAACAATAAGAGCTTTTTTTTTTAAAAGAAAAAAGTGCCAGTGCTCACAACAAAGAGTTTTTTAAAAGGTGTCAGTTCTCACCATATAGTCTCACCGTATAGCCTCACCATTTAGCCTCACTGTATAGCCTCACCATATAGCATCACCGTATAGCCTCACCGTATAGCCTCACCGTATAGTTTCACCATATAGTCTCAGCATATAGTCTAGGTGTTGGTATTGTATTCCTTTGTGTGCTGCCACACATTAAAAAAAAAAAATCAAGTGTTGTCTTCACAGTGAAGGTTGGCTCGACCGATCTCCAAAACTCGACCAACTGCTATAAGTGTTGATTCAGACAGACTGCTGTTGATCCATCCCTTGATTTTTACCTTCCTACTTATAATGGCTTAGGCTCTGTGAACGCACTACATAATTCTGAAAAACCTGATTTATTTCCAACTAGAGGCAATATGGCAGCAGACAACTTTGTGTTGGTTTTTGACAAATGGTACGGGATGCCATAAACACAAAAACAAATCACATCTTTAAATGTGATTAGAAACAAACAACATACAGGAAGAGAAGAAGAGGCCAACCATGTAAACAATAGACAGAGGCAATAAAAGTGTCCCTGGGAATCAACCTTTACAAACTGCACAAACAATTATATTTCACCTCGATACCACAAGGTACCAGAGGATCAAGATGAGTTGAGACAATTATGTTTTAAAAATGATTAAAAACAAACAAATCACAAGTTTCAAAATTAATTAAAAACAATGCATGTCTTTTAATGTGATAGAAAACAGACAGTTAACGTATTTAATTAAGTTATTGCCATTATTTACAAAGAACAGCGGAAACACGCTCGTGTGTAGTACCATATTACCTGGGCAGTAGGGGAGATAAGATCCTGCTCTGAAGACATGCAGCCAGAACCTCTAACTTGCCCTTGCTGTTGCTGCTGCTGCTGTGATGCTGAGGTCAAAGCAGCAGCAGAGCTGCTTCCAACATACTGCTGCTGCTGCTGCTGTTGCGGTGGTGGGTAGTCCATGTACTGTGCGCTGGTCAAACTTGGAGAATTACGATTAGTGCTGAGCTCAGGGGACATCATTCTTACCTGTGCGAACATATGGAAAGGAATATGTTTGTATAAATATTACAATTAAGTCTCATTAGTCTATTCAGCAACAACAAAAACTATCATAAAAAATTCAGTCTAAACTAAAAACCGAAAGGGATACCACTATCAGGGTGTGACAGGCATGTAGTCAGGTCAGGGCAGCTTAGGTGGATAGGCTGATTTACTGTTGTGTGGTCAATGCAAGGTTTGTTTCTGAGTTAGCTATTCCATTTTCCTCTATATACAGACTGAAAGGATACAGTTCCGCTGCCTTAGCTGAGGGCATGGCGCGACACTGTGGACTTCATTTTTAATGCCTTTGAACTGTGCCCCTCGTGGTGTGTGAAGTGAACTGCAGATTCCGAAAACGAACATTCTGTGTTGTTTTTGTTGGCGCCGGAACGGAACAACTACTGGGTGGCTTATTTCTGATGTTGGGGACTGTGAATACCTGTTTACTTAAAAAGATCTTTTAACCTGCTCAAAGACATTTACTTAATTCTACTTGCCCCACCCCCCTTCAACTCCCTGAGTTTGATTATTTATGACTTTTATCACTAAATTTTCAACAGTTCATTATTGAAACACTCAATGCACATTATTACTGCCCTTCAACTTCAGATGATAATGACAACCAACTGACTCTCCCATGTTTTCACAGTCCGTACAGTGAATTATTAAGTGCCTATAAAAGAATGCCATATCACGATTCACTTTATTATACTACAATCCCTCCGGCAATACAAATGATAAAAAACGGGTCATGGCACCACAAGCACAAACTATGGTCATGTACTTTAAAGAAGCTTTTATATAAACTGAAAAATAACTTTAAAGGGATTTTGAACACAAAACATTTTGACCATTATAAATCTGACTGTGTCATTTTGAGCAACTTTCATAAACTAACTGTGACTTTTGCAAAGATGGTCAGGATAAATACAACACTTGTCATGTAAGTGACTGAGAAACATGAAAACACATTAGACTGTGACCTCCACCTGTCATGACACGTTGAACAACTTTAATTCACACACTCTGATTAGTATTATTTGTAAAGAGTGAGGCCAAAAAGACAGAAAGGTAGACAGGCCTAAGTGCCTAATTTTTTACCCTTTAAAAATAAAGTCTGTTAATCCTCTTAGGCCTCCCGCTACACCATTATTGGGTACGCACTTATTTCTAGCAACGATGGGATAACTTTAATTAGGTGACAGATTTTTTTGGGCACTTTTAACTCTTTGAGGATCAACCGCCATTTAAGTGGCACCTGAATCCAACACGTTTGGACGAATTGACACTTAATTAGCTCCACGTACAGACACTCTGATTTTGTTTTGTTTGCTGGGAAAACAAAATTTTATGAATATGTTTAAAAAAAAACTAGAATTAGCAAAATGGAGTTCTTTCATCTTGGAAGTTTGGCATGGTGCTGGATAACTTTCTGATTTATTTAAATTATTTAGAAGTGATACAAATTGTACGTTATTTTATCTATACCAAATGATAAGGGAAAAGGTATAGAAATGTTAATACTGCTCTGTCATCGAGGAATCTCAACCACACAGTGACAACAGTCTTGATATTATGACCAATAATGCAAGTGACAAACCTATTGACGATAATGTAAGTTAGGATGAATATTTCAATCGGATCATCTCTGTTTTAGTCAGCTATTTTCCTCATTTTGGTTATTGGGAAATCTGACATTTAATTTAAAAAATGGTCATAACATCCAATGTATTTCAATTACTTGTTCCGAATAAAGACTAGCTGATCCATAACAGATAAGGCATGTGCATTTTTAGAATTGGATAGCAGTGTTGTTAAACAAGTAAAAAGAAAGGCAAGCACAACATTTTGTTTGTAAAGAATCTTCATTTGTGTCTAACATCCTTGAATGCTGTGTGCTTTTTTGTTGTTGTGTTGACATTTAAATAGTTGTAGATTTATTCTGCACTCATTTCTCTTTAATTTGATACATTATATGTCCCTATACAGACAATACTTTTTGTAAGGAAGGTTTTAGCTTTGTCATGTCACAGTAACAAAAATTCCGTTCAAAATCAATGCTGTCCAAACCCCAGAAAAAAAATGTGGTCCTGAAAGAGTTAACACACAAGATACAACAGTGACAATTAGTGCCCCGATTAAACTCAACTGGTCAGGCATTTTCTCACCTTTTTTGGTTTCTTTCCTTTGGCAGGTGATCCTTTATTTTCATCTGTTAAATGATGCTGCTGTTGCTCCTGCTGTTGTTGTTGGTGATGATGTTGTTGTTGTTGTTGTTGTTGTTGTTGTTGCTGCTGCTGATGCTGCTGTAATTGCTGCAAATCTGAAGCTGAGGTAATCCTAACCTGACCTGAATTCTGTGCTGCTGGCATACCTGTGATATTAGGGTGCAAGTTGTGATCACAATTTGACCTTTCATTCAACATAACTCAATGTTTTGGACAAATAAGGTCAGATCTGTCAAAAAATCCCCACAGTGACCTATAATCAAACCTTTACATAAAGTTTAGTGATCAAGTCAGAAATTGTGCCAGTCTTTTCAATAATGGGGGGGGGTCTCGTGGCTGAGTGGCTTGACACTTGCCGCGGATCGGAAGGTCGTGGGCTCACTCCTTGGCAGAGCCTGACTTTTGTCAAAAAATGATCTTGGCTCCCAGGTCGACCCAGCCTTGAGTGGGTACCGGGTGCAGCCCCGGGAAGTAAAGGTGGCCGGCCTGCTGCTGACCACATCACCCATCTTGTGCCGATTGGTCTATACAAATATAGGTCTAGCCCTATATGCCTAATGGCGTGGAAAAGGGTCCTTAACTTTTTACTTTTTCAAATAATGTCATTCTAAACTGGATAAGGCTAACAATAATGTGTTCAAATCTGTGATAAAATCTGACAATTTTTCTGAAAAAATGCTTATCCATAAGACACTATTTAATATGTGACCTCCTCCTTCTTCAAATTTTAACACAAGTAATAGTATTCCCAGTGTTAGGAAAAAGTAACACAAGTAAATGTATTCACAGACACTTTTGGAACTAGTACAGAAGTTAAAGCTTATAACATATTTTACAAAGTGAAAGAGTTTAGAAAAAGTAAGCTTGTAAAAGGTTTTACAAAGAAAACAAGGTTAGAAAAAGTAAGCTTGTAAAAGGTTTTACAAAGAAAACAAGGTTAGAAAAAGTAAGCTTGTAAAAGGTTTTACAAAGAAAACAAGGTTAGAAAAAGTAAGCTTGTAAAAGGTTTTACAAAGAAAACTAGGTTAGAAAAAGTAAGCTTGTAAAAGGTTTTACAAAGAAAACAAGGTTAGAAAAAGTAAGCTTGTAAAAGGTTTTACAAAGAAAACAAGGTTAGAAAAAGTAAGCTTGTAAAAGGTTTTACAAAGAAAACAAGGTTAGAAAAAGTAAGCTTGTAAAAGGTTTTACAAAGAAAACAAGGTTAGAAAAAGTAACAGACATAATAGTGTTTAAATAGCAAAAAAAAAAAAAAAAAAAAAAAAAGGGTTCTTATTATGTAGTGTCCACATGACGAGCTACTTCCCATCCCATTCGTGTCGTGGCCTTTCACAGAGCCTGTCATATACTGTGGGGGGTGTCATGTATTCCTTATTTTCAATGGTTCAACCGTTCTCTAGTTTCTTGTGTACACTGCACGCCTTAAAGTGATTTACGACAACACAATCTCCCCAAAAATGTGTATATGGCAAGTGACCGCCGAACAAAGCCACATCATAAAACCCCCACAACATAGGACAGGCCCGGTGACTGGCCGTGGCATAAAAGGGGTGGGAAGTTACTCTCATTGTGTAGACGCAGCCGTGAGTAGTTAAAAAAAAAAAGAAATAATATTTATAAAGAAACAATATTTAAAAAGTAACAAAAGTAGTAGTATTTAGAAAGTAACTAGTTTAAATGTTGATAAAGTAGAACAAAAATTATTTATATTTATAAAAGAACAAAAGTAACAGTGTTTATAAAGTAAAAATATTTATAAAGTAACAAAAGTAACAGTGTTTAAAAAAGTAAAAAAGTAAATATTTACAAAGTAACAAAAGTAACAGTATTTATAAAAGAACTGTGTTTACGAAAAATAATAGAAGTAATAGTATTTATGAAGTAATAGTATTTTTTTTTTTTTAAATACAGAATTAATAGTTTTATTAAAAAAGTAACTGAACTAACCGTATTATTATAAAAAAAAATAATGTTTAGAAAAAGTAATAAAAGTGACAACTTACAAAACTGATTACTCTGGCTGGGACTGCCAACGCTCTGCACCTGATGCATCATCATCATGCCTGGAGTTGGGGACGGTGTGGGTGCTGGGGTGGAGGCAGGACTAGCCATGGGGGAGCTGTTCACATGACCTCTAGGGGCTGAGTAAGAGAAGACACGTGAATGTGTAAGTAAGTCAAGGACCCTTTTCCACTCCATCAGGTCTACAGGGTGTATAGGGCTAGACCTGTATTTTATAGACCAATCAGAATTCGCTGGGTGATAGGGTCAATTTCAGGCCAGCCGCCTTTACGTCCCAGGATTTTTAACTGGTATCCATTTAACGCTGGGTCAACCTTGGAGCTAAAGTGATTTTTTTTTTTTTTTTTTTTTCAAGTCCGGCAATGAGAATGCGATGTTTATCAATAACTGCAAAACTACTACAGCCATCTCCAAGCACTACAGTTTACTACATAAGTTCTGAAGAGGTTTGAGAGAATCTGTACTTTCATAACATTGTCAGTGGAGCAATGATGCACAATACAAGACTGTTGATGCCTCGTAATAGGCTCTTCTGCTCAAGCCTACCTCACCTCCACATAACGGCCACTCTTCAGCCTAATAATCCGGTGGAAGGTTGGTGTTTCAATCCCCAAAGGGGAAAATGGTAGAGACAACAAATCAGATAAAGGCAAAATCCTTATCGCTAGCTACTGAGTTGAATGCATGGTGCGACACTGTGAGCTGTGAATTTCATGAGGGCTACTTATTGTTTGTGCTCCCAGGGACTTGTGTTGTAAACTGCACATTCAGAAAATGGTGACTGGCTGGTTACCACAGAATTCCTAGTGTCCCTTATGCAGTATTGCCGGTAAGGTTTTGTGATTTCTAAATTTACATCTAATTCTGTCATTTGTTGTAATCCAGAATTGATGATTCTATCTTCTCATGTGAACCACACAATCTTCTGAAAAGTCTTTCCTCACAACCTCTGAGCATTAATATAGAGTCTACATACTTGTCTGACAATCCAAAGGCCACAGGTTCAAATGTTCATCGGGCAGATTTTGTCCAAGGTCCACTCAGCCTAAAATAGGTACCAGAAGTGTGTCCTAGGAAGTAAAGGTGGCCGGCAGAATGCTGACCAGATCACTCACAGAGTGTAGATTAGTTTATAGTTGTTGCAGTTTTGTTTCTTCTACAACTGCTGGATTAAAACTTTAAGGACGAACATACTCTGTAAAAGATCCCGGCAAATCTTGTTCAAGCATAAGGTTGTATTGGGGACCCCTGACTGGTCCCAAGTACAGACCAGGATGGTACTTGAATGGATCAGTCTACCCAAAAAAAAAAAAATGAGTCTAGGTTGATAGAGGACTAATGTGAAAAGGGGTCAGCAACATAGATTTTTTTTCAATCACTACCTGTAAACCTTTGATTTAAAAAAAAGCAAAGGGGCCTTTTAATATTCTAATATTTGTCTTTTCTAGACAAAGCATTACAGTCTGCTGTGTTTGTAAACTGTTGCTGTGTTTGTTATTCGACAGATGCTTGGTTAATTTAAACTTATGTAACCTATGGGGCATTTCAATGGTTTGAGATGAATTCTGTCCGTATTCCATAGCTGTGGATTTCAAGCTGTACGATAGATATGGCAAAGAAGACGCCTTTTTTCAGGGGTGCCTAGTTGGCTATGTTCTTAGTCTACTTGTTTCCATAGTGAGGCACCCCATTTAGAGGTGACAGGTTTGAATACCCGGCACAGTAATTATAGCATGTGAGATTTTTATGTTGTCTAGTGTGTACTTCTATCTTTCGACTTCTTTCTATAAGTGCCAATCAATACATTATCTGTTTATTACATGCATAATATTCCTACCGTCTCAAGGGTTCCCCCTCTGTTTAATTATTTTCCCATGTGTGTTCCACTCAATTATGGGGAAAATGTGAATAGACTCACTGTCTCCCTGACAAGAATAATGTCAGTCTACTTATTCGTGGTTTCTTTCCAAGCCACAATGCATCTGCTTGAGAATCAAGGAACCAACAATCTGCATATAAAAAAGCCTGATTTGTAAAATAGATGTGCATGCAACACTCAAGTTCTGGAGCGAGACTACGGTCCAGAAGTGGATAAACAGCCAGAACTTTCCGCTGGAGTTAGCAGCTGGTGTACATCCTTAGTATATTTAAAAATAACACACACCAAAAAAAGCAGCTTAGTTCTTACACTGAGAGAGTGGTGTTTTCATGCACTCTGTGGCTACAGGAACATGAGCAGTTGTTGCCTTGACCCGGTTAGATTTTGTGTGAAAGTTGGAGCTGCTGATGTAACCAATCTCTGCTGCTTTGCCTTCCACTGGCACAGACATGGTGTTTGCTTTGATGGTGGAGCCTACCAGACAGGAACAAATACAGTCTTCACAGATTACACCAGAACTGGACTATATGGTATAAAATACAAATACTATCCACACTGATCACATAAGAACTAGTCTACTACTACTTCTTAAAGTCCATGCTGTGTGGCTTTGGTAGTCCTGTCTTCCCACAACCTTCTGTCTTGTGTACATTCAATCAACTCTTGACACAAATGATCTTCCATGCCATGATGACAAACTGTCCTGCATCTTCTCTCTGTCTGTCTCTCTTCTCAGACAGGGCCTACGTGCCCAATTTGTAACCCTTTGAAAATAAAGTTTGTTCATTCCCCTCCCAAATTTCCTACTTTCATAATGTGCTCCACTGTTCTCCTTATCATGAGATGATCAAAGAATATAGATTGTCTCTGATGTGGGCAATCAGTTCTCATTGTGAATTAATTTCTTTCATCTTCATTACTCTTTTTATCTGTCCAGGGTATTTTCATCTTTTGTCTATATAAAATCACATCTCTGCAGCTTCCAAAATTTTTTTTTTTACTCCAGATGTCCATGATCCACTTTCCTTTATCAGGATAGGATTTAAATAGCTTCACTGACTACCTGTGCCCTAGTCTACGGGGCATAAAATACAATCTTCACTGACTACATGTGCCCCAGTCTACAGAGTGGAATATACAATCTTCACTGACTACATGTGCCTCTGTCTACAGAGTGGAAAATACAATCTTCACTGACTACATGTGCCCCAGTCTACAGAGTGTAAAATACAATCTTTACTGACTACATGTGCCCCAGTCTACAGAGTGTAAAATACAATCTTCAATGACTACATGTGCCCCAGTCTACAGAGTGGAAAATACAATCTTCACTGACTACATGTGCCCCAGTCTACAGAGTGGAAAATACAATCTTCACTGACTACATGTGCCCCAGTCTACAGAGTGTAAAATACAATCTTCAATGACTACATGTGCCCCAGTCTACAGAGTGGAAAATACAATCTTCAATGACTACATGTGCCCCAGTCTACAGAGTGGAAAATACAATCTTCACCGACTTCATGTGTCCTAGTCTATGAGACGTAAAATACAATCTTCACCGACAACATGAGGCCTACTCTTTGTGATACATACTAGAAATACAATCTTCACTGAAACTGCAAGTAGAATCTTCACTGACTGTATGAGAACTAATCTACGGGGCATGAAATACAATCTTCACTGAAACTGCAAGTAGAATCTTCACTGACTGTATGAGAACTAATCTACGGGGCATGAAATACAATCTTCACTGAAACTGCAAGTAGAATCTTCACTGACTGTATGAGAACTAATCTACGGGGCATGAAATACAATCTTCACTGAAACTGCAAGTAGAATCTTCACTGACTGTATGAGAACTTATCTACGGGGCATAAAATACAATCTTCACTGACAACACAGAGTCTATGTGACTATACCTGGGTACATTTTGGTGTTCGCTGTCTGAGGTACTGACTGCACACTCGTCATACCATGCACAGGCTTGGGTGCAATCTGTAGCTGTGTCGTGGGCACGCCTCCAGATGTAGATACAGCATGCAAATGTGGTCCAGTCAGTGTCCCGCTGGTAAAATGTACCTGGCTAGCTGCTGTACTACTTGTCGCCTGACTCATTACCAGGTTAGGGGATGAGATGGGATGTGGGGATTGAACCAGCAGTTGTCCTGAAAAATAGGTTATTAATAAAGTGTGACTTTTGAATTAGGTGTTAACATTTTCCCCCAAGAACTCTATTTTAAAAAAAAGATGAATCATGACTGTGAGGCGAAGTGTGTGGACTGACGAGAGCATGAAAATTGAAATAGATCATGTAATACGCGAGTTGAATGATTGAAAGGTTACTAAAGTCAGGAATGATTGGGAATGATCAGTCTTGTTTTGGAATCCAGGAATGGTGTGTCTGACGGTATGGAGAAAGTGCTTGTGGAATGAATGAATCGAGTTACAAGTGAATGACTGAATCAGATTTGGCTGTGAAGTCTGAGACAAAACTTGGCTACACGTTTGGCCTGACTTGTTTGATCAAGGCTGGACATGTGTGTGACTGTTTCAACTTGGAAGGTTGTCACTGTCAAGCTGTTGCTGTGGTAATGTCTATGTGTGTTTCACTATGAAGGTAATATTGATATATTGCTATCAGAGGCCGAACTATCTTTGCCTAGACAGTTTCCTCTGTGTGCACTGGCTGGGAGACAGCTGTATGAACAAAAAAATATTGACATCAGCTGTTCGTTTTGTTCATTAATTCAACATGTTGAAGCGTATGTTAGTATGTGAGAAGTCTGTAAATGACAAGAGCCAAGAGACTGGGGGTAAAGAGAGTCACTGCAGTTGTTGCTTCTCACTTCTTCAATTTTCACATTGCACATGTTGCTTCGCACTTCTTCAATTTTCACATTGCAGTTGTTGCTTCGCACTTCTTAAATTCTCCACCTAATTCCATAATACTGAATTAAAAAGAATGCTCTGTGGCAAATTTAACATGGTCTTTAACAGAACATGCCTGTCATGTCAACTGTAACTTTCTAAATTTAAAACATTCTTTTTTCTTTTTTTGTGTAATGACCTCAGTGGCAAAGTGGTCAACCCTTTTGCAATGTGATTTGAAAGGCCACTGTTCAGTTTCAGTTTGTGCCATTGCGTTCAGGAGTGCAGATTTACCAGATATCCATGGGAATCATCACTAGAGCTGAAGAGTTCACGCTTTATGTGATGCTCTTATCAAGCGATTGAAAGAGACTGGGCCACACAGGATCAAAATTGGTGCAAAGCTGCACATCTCGTCTATAAAACACTGATAATTTTGTTGTATCTGAACAAAGTGTAAGAGTCACAGCTTATTTTTAATTACTGTTCGAGTCTGGCACCGACAACACCTCATGGCAGTCACAGTAACAATCACATTTTTATCAAACCAACAGTTAAAGAGTTAAAATTGTATTACCAGGCTGTACAGGACTGACATATGCAGGTATATAGTGAACTTTTTGCAGAGTGTCTCCTTTGCCTCCAGAAGTCAAGCTCATGGCTGTTTGGATTCTGCAGTAGAAAACACACACACAAGTACAACAACAGAATCTAGTATGTTTGATGAAGTGACTGGTAGCTATATATTCACACTTGTCTACATGAAAAAAGAATCCATGATTATTTATAATACTGTGATGAGACAAAGGACTGCAACAAAACTATGAGTAAACTTTATTGCCCTCCCAGACTTAGTTCCTCAAGAGAATGCCATATACAGAGCTTCACAAACCTATTTCTTCAAGAACCTGCCAAATTTAATATAAAGAAACTTAACTGAAATCACAGGCTCTAGTTCTTTAGGAAAAAGCACAAACAGATAAGACATCATCATCATCATAAACCACTTCTGCCGTTAAGCATCGTGGGGAGGAATAATTTGCAATCCAGTGCACGTTGGCTGCCACTGGCTACTGTCATGCCACAAAGACGTAGAGTGTCTTTAATGTTGTCGATCCATGTTTTACGCGGTCGGAAAAGATAAGACAAGACAGATAAATGTACAGACAGTAAGACAGAGACAGTCAGAGGCTGTTCACTTTCTTTCTGTTTGCTGGCTGTGAATTCTAGCAGAAAGTCTTGGCCGTTCTTCCATTTGGACTTTGGCTTCCTACCAGGACCAGAGTTTTGCGTGTACATCCGTTTTACTGGCTTATTTGTGTGCAGCAGAGGTTGTACACAATCTCACAAATCTACTTCTTCAAGAACCACACAAGAACACATTCCAGTGAACTCACTGCACTAGTTTTTCCAGAAATTAGCCATGTACAGAAAGTAACAGTAACAGCCGTGTACAGAAAGTAACAGTCACAGCCGTGTACAGAAAGTAACAGCCGTGTACAGAAAGTATGTTGTGAGCAGAAAGTAACAGTAACAGCCGTGTACAGAAAGTAACAGTAACAGCCATGTACAGAAAGTAAGTTGTGAACAGAAAGTAACAGTAACAGCCCTGTACATAAAGTAACTATAACAGCCATGTAAACAAAGTATCAGTAACAGCCGTGTACACAAAGTATCAGTAACAGCCCTGTACATAAAGTAAATGTAACAGCCATGTACATAAAGTAAATGTAACAGCCATGTACATAAAGTAAATGTAACAGCCATGTACATAAAGTAAATGTAACAGCCCTGTACATAAAGTAAATGTACCAGCCATGTACAGAAAGTAAATGTACCAGCCATGCACAGAAAGTAAATGTAACAGCCATGTACAGAAAGTAAATATAACAGCCATGTACAGAAAGTAATGATAACAGCCATGTACAGAAAGTAAATGTAACAGCCATGTACAGAAAGTAAATGTAACAGCCATGTACAGAAACAAAATGTAACAGCCATGTACAGAAAGTAAATGTAACAGCCATGTACAAAAACAAAATGTAACAGCCATGTACAGAAAGTAACGATAACAGTCATGTACAGAAAGTAACAGCAAAGCACTTTTTTTAAAACTCCGGTGGTGCATCTGGCACATGATGTTGGTCTAATCAACAGACTAGTCAATACTTGATGTGTGATGTGGTTAACTCCGGTGGTGCATCTGGCACATGATGTTGGTCTAATCAACAGACCAGTCAATACTTGATGTGTGATGTGGTTGGTGCATCTGGCACATGATGTTGGTCTAATCAACAGACCAGTCAATACTTGATGTGTGATGTGGTTAACATCACACCAGAGCTTTTACTTCCCAAGACACTTCAATTAGCTGGTACCTATTTCAGGCTGGATCAATATGGACGAAGATCAATTTTCAAGAAAACATCAGAGACTCCCAAATTAGTGAGGACTATTCTCACAGCACTCGGGACACATTCATAGTCTCTCTGATCTCCTTCTCAGTAGCTCCACAAGGTGAAACGACTGATCCTGCCCATTCTGTATTGATTAACTGAATTTGTTGGGCTCATGGTGAAAACTACATGTCTGGCTGCAATTAACACCCCCCCCCCCTCCCCCCACCACCACACACAGTCTGAACAAGGATTCTAAGTCCTGCTTGTTGTCGAGATCTTCTCTGCGATATGCAGCTTGATTACATTAATTACACCATCCTATCCAGTGCTGAGCCAGTTGCGGTAACCACCTTTTCTGCCAGATAATTTGCGTGTTCATTGCCTTGAACACCCGCACACCCAGCCCAGGGATAAAGGTTACGCAAGTTATTGGTGATGTATTTAATGAGAGAATCCATTCTTGTCTGATGAAACCCACCTAGATTTTCTTGTGCACATTCGCTGAATCAGTCAGTATGCACGCATATGTCACTTCTCGACTACCCAGCCATGTCACTGATCTTGTTGCAGCCATCTCCTTCATGGTTTTTCCCGGTGTGCTCATATTGAACACCCATGCGCTTCATTTGCCATCAGGTGACTGATCCATCCGTGACCTTCAGAACAAGAGGCAAGCATCTAGGCGTCGAGCCCCTGCTACTTCCCATATACCCAGAGGAAAAGATGTTTAATAAACTTGCTTCTATGTGGTTGGCAGAAGTGCATGCTGCCAGTTTGGCCTCTGAGACTCCCCATATACCCAAAGGACAAGATGCTTAATAAATTCATTTCTGTGTGGTTGGCAGAAATACATGGTGCCAGCTGGGCTTGTGCGGATCCCCATATACAAAGATAACGAGATATTTAATAAACTCACTTCTGTGTGGTTGGCAGAAGTACATGCTGCTGGTGGGACCTCATGCCTCCCTGTACAATGGCTGTTGCCTGAGTGACGATGCTAGTGGGTGTTGCCTGGAGACTTGGAATGTTCTGGGGAGTGGCTACAGAAAGACAAACTATTGGCTGAACAAATGCCCCAGCAGGAATCTGCACTTGTTCCGTGCCTCCAGAAGTGAAGGTGGCCGGAGACTGCACCAACATGGCAACCTGGAGACACAACAAAATATTTTGTTGTATCTATTAACTCCAATGAAAACCTTAATTTTTCTTTAATCAGTTCCAAGAAAGCAAACTGCTACATTGCGTAGAAGGATTATAAATAGAACCAAAGTTTTCACTAGTGTAGGTGTGATCAACGCATTAACAGTCAGAATACACATTTTTGGAATACACAAGGATAAGCCATTAAGTAACAACAGCAAAAGCCTCACCCAATACTAGGGGAAATCAGAATAGATTAACTATAAACAAAGATAAATTATAATAAGCATTTATAAAATGTGTGACAACACAAGATGAGATGGTTGGGACACACTTGGAATAATCAACTGTACATTAGGCACTGCTTTAGACAGAAAGAGTTCAGAAATGGGCTTGCCAGCCCTGTTACATTCCCCCCTTAAGAGAAAATAGAACAGAAGAAAGACAGAAAACAGCTGCTTTGACTACTGCTTGCTGTTAAAAGAATATGATGTTGAAATTATGTAGACCTAACACAATGTGCCAATCACCCTCTTAACTCTTCTGAGTCCCAAGGAACGCATCATACGTTTACAGGTTCCTACCTAGAAGCCCAATGAACGCATGATGCGCCGATTTTATGTCTCTATTCACTACTCCTTGGGTCTGTGATGCTAAACCCCCTAGGACTCAAAGAGTTAACACCTTTAGTACTAGTTATGTGTCAGCAAATCCCCAAGTGGAACAAAAATTATGAATGCTGAACAAATATTAAACACAGTGGAGTGGCCACTTGCATAGCCAGATTTCCTCAGCATGGTTTGACCATAGGTAAAATGTAAACAAAAACACATTATTTATTAGCGGTTACTCACAAGGGTAATCGCATCACACACTATGCATTGCTTGGGACCGAAAGATTTGAGGGCAAACACAGAAGAAGATGATCATCATCATCAGTTCTCATTAGGCCTAGTGGCACATGAGGCTTCAGAGAGGACTTTCCATGCTTTCCTGTCCTGTGCAATCTTCAATGCAGTTTTCCATGTCAAAGATGCCGCACTCAGGTCACTTTCCATCGTTCATCTCCATGTTGTTTTTGGGCGCCCCTGTTTTCTCTTTCCCTCTGGTGTCCATGGGAGAGCTGTTTTGGCGGGTATATCAGGATTCATTCTCATAACGTGGCCAAGCCTTTTCCATCTTCTCTTGGTTATCATACTGTCTAAAGTTTCTTGGTTTGTGACTTGAAGTAGTTTAGTATTTGAGAATGTATCTGGCCAGAAAATTTTGATAACTCCAGCATTCCGCTCCATAAAGAAGAACTGGCAAAATGATGCTCTTGTAGAGTCGGAGTTTCGTTCCTCTGCAGTAACTGTTGGATTTCCAAATTTGCCTCATCCTTGCAAAAGCAGCTCTAGCTTTGTTCAGACGTGACTGTTATGTCCTCTTCGGTCCCTTCCAGCACGGACACCACACTGCCAAGATATGAGAAATGTTCTACATTTTCAAGAGTTTGGTTATTTATGATCACTGGTTGTTGGTTTGGACTGCTTGTCATGATCTTAGTTTTCTTTGTAGTTATTCTCCGTTATAAAGTTAATATAAAATCCGTGTGTGATAAAAGACAGCAATAGCATCAAATCAAGTGGATTCTGGGGTTGCACTGCCCCCCCCCCCCACCCCCCCCCCCCCACCTACAAGCATGTCATAAAAGACAACTAATTAGGAGTGTTTCCTTTGAAGTCAGAGTGCATCTACCTGAGAGGCCAGGAGCCAACTATACATATGCATGCGAAACATTCAAATTCAAAAGTTCTATAACAAGACTACGTCCAGAAATGGATGAACAACCAGAACTTTCCACTACAGTTTACAGCTGGTGAACGAGAAGAAGAAATTATCTCTTGAATGATCAAGTAACATATGGTACGTTGGTTGGTGCTGAAAGAGTTAATTCTTCTCGTCTCTTTGTGTAGTTATAATGATTTCTATGTTGATTTCATCAAACACTGAAATCAGTTACAAAAATAGTATTAAGATATAATGAGTTAAAGCAGCCCCTGCTAGCACTGAAAAGTTTGAAAAAAAAAACAACAATAACAAAAAACTAACATATTCCTGAAATGTCGAAGCTTACCTGTTGGGAACTGGGTGCCGACGAGACCACTGTACGAAACTGTATCTTCCCTGGAGGAACCGGGCTAGCCTGGCCAGATGCAGCAGTGCTTGTCACGGTGAGAAAATTGCCAGGCTGGACCGTGCTACCTGGCAATGCCATCTGAAGGACCTTACTTCCCTGCACTGGCTGGACTTGTAAAGAAGGCAAGATGTACCTGTGTGGGAGACACAGGGGTGTGTGTGTGTGATACAATAACAGAAAAAACACCTAAAAACCTAGAACCGAGTGTGTGCGAATGTAAGTGAGTGACAGCAGTTAAACAAGCACGCGCGCATGCATGTGTGTGTGTGTAACATTTTTTATCCCAACAATAGCAGTGGATAGCTGTAAGTATTCCCAACCGCTTTATTTTCAAATTGGGGGTTGAAGCGTAGGGAAGATGGCCTCACCACTGTAAATACTATCTTTGCCGAGTAGATAAATTTTGCTAGCTGGGGACAGCAATCCATCTAAGGGAGCTCATCCTAATAAAAAAAAAAAGCATGCTAGAGTCAGAGGTGCTGGGCCAAGAAGGCCAGAAAGGTGTCACAGCCGAACCTAAAAACTACGGCAAAATGCAAAACCTCCCTGTAATGCCGGTGTCTGAAAATGAGAATGGTGGCTGTGAGGACAGGGATGCAAATTTTGTGTGGTTTTTTACTAGCATAGGAGCACAGCTTCTTCTTGAGTTGACCGGCTGTTAAAGTTTTGGCTGTTTGTCTATTTCTTAAATTTAATCTTGTTCCAGAAGTTTTGCATGTACACCCATTTTACAGATCTGGCTTATTTTTATTAATGCAGACTGTTGGTTCCACGCCTCTCAGTCAGGCAGAGGCACTTCGAATAGAATACCCTTAATCAGCTACATTTACAACATGCTTATTGGGGGGATTATTGGTCTATTCTTTTCCCTCTCTTCTCTCTTAGGTCTATTCTTTTCCCTCTCTTCTCTCTTAGGTCTATTCTTTTCCCTCTCTTCTCTCTTAGGTCTATTCTTTTCCCTCTCTTCTTTCTTAGGTCTATTCTTTTCTCTCTGTTCCCTCTTAGGTCTATTCTTTCCCCCCTCCGAATCCAATGGGGAAGGAGCAGATCAATCACAGAGTAACCCATCTGCGGTGAAGCTGGAACCTCAAACTACAGCCCGATAACCAGAAGATGGAGACACTTTAACCCATCTGCCATGAAGCTGGAACCTCAAACGACAGCCTGATAACCAGAAGATGGAGACACTTTAACCCATCTGCGGTGAAGCTGCAACTTCAATCTACAGCCTGATAACTACAAGATGTAGACACTTTAACCCATCTGCGGTGAAGCTGAAACCTCCACCTACAGCCCAATAACCAGAAGTTGTAGACACTTTAACCCATCTGCGGTGAAGCTGAAACCTCCACCTACAGCCCAATAACCAGAAGTTGTAGACGCTTTAACCTTTCTGCGGTGAAGCTGGAACTTCAACCTACAGCCCGATAACCAGAAGATGTAGACACTTTAACCCATCTGCCGTGAAGCTGGAACCTCATCCTACAGCCCGATAACCAGAAGATGTAGACACTTTAACCCATCTGCGGTGAAGCTGGAACTTCAACCTACAGCCCAATAACCAGAAGATGGAGACACTTTAACCCATCTGCCGTGAAGCTGGAACCTCAACCTAGAGCCCAATAACCAGAAGTTGTAGACACTTTAACCCATCTGCCGTGAAGCTGGAACCTCAACCTACAGCCCGATAACCAGAAGATGTAGACACTTTAACCCATCTGCGGTGAAGCTGGAACTTCAACCTACAGCCCAATAACCAGAAGATGGAGACACTTTAACCCATCTGCGGAGAAGCTGGAACCTCAACCTACAGCCCAATAACCAGAAGATGGAGACACTTTAACCCATCTGCCGTGAAGCTGGAACCTCAACCTACAGCCCGATAACCAGAAGATGTAGACACTTTAACCCATCTGCCGTGAAGCTGGAACCTCAACCTACAGCCCAATAACCAGAAGATGGAGACACTTTAACCCATCTGCCGTGAAGCTGGAACTTCAACCGACAGCCCGATAACCAGAAGATGTAGACACTTTAACCCATCTGCCGTGAAGCTGGAACCTCAACCTACAGCCCAATAACCAGAAGATGTAGACACTTTAACCCATCTGCGGTGAAGCTGGAACTTCAACCTACAGCCCAATAACCAGAAGATGGAGACACTTTAACCCATCTGCGGTGAAGCTGGAACCTCAACCTAGAGCCCAATAACCAGAAGATGGAGACACTTACCTAACATGAGTGGGCTGCTGTGAAGAGAAGCTGAGTGTTTGTATACTCTGCGGCTGTGCCAGGCCCTGGGACAGTGTTGATGGTGTGGCTTTGAGGACCAGGTTGTTCAGCAACAGGGTCTGCTGTTGAATAAACATTGGTTCTTTATTAATATCCTACCCCAGATGACGTCACAGGACAGTCCAACATTTTAGAGGATGGTAAGACTGGGTTTCCCTGTTTTCTGATGCTTTTAACAACCCCAAAACATCTAGAACTGGCCTTAACCCTAACCCACCTATGTACCATGAGAAAGTGCAGCCTAGGTCATACGACTGTATGCAGCCTAGGTCCCATGACTGCATGCAGCCTAGGTCCCATGACTGCATGCAGCCTATCTACCAATCCCTGAAATATTATACTGTCCCGTGACCTGTGGATTTCCCCTGTTTAGGGTAGGATATTAATAAAGCATGCAAACATGTGATAGGTCTGAGCATATCTGAACAGGAGTTAATTCATCCAAAGTTTAAAGTCTAAAGCCTTCTTCTTAGCACTCACCAGCTGTAAACTTTGGTGAAAAGTTATAGTTTTTCGTCCACTTCTGAACTCTGGTCTTGTTTCAGACTTGAGTTGCGCTTGCACATTCGTTTTACAGAGCTGGCTGATTTGTTTGCTGGGATCTACCACAAGAAGTAGCCCCGGCTACCCACATGTGGATAAGTCTGAAGTCAAAAAGATGGACTTCTTTGCACAAGATTATCTCAACTGGCTGGGTCTCTCTCTACAGTGTGGCTAGCCACCTGCTGGAAGCAACATACAAAGCACGAACTCTGCAACTCCAATGACGATCCATCAGGTATTTCATGAACCAAATTATACAGTTCACGAAACAAACCCATGACCTTTAGAGAGCAAGGTAAATGGCTTGACCACTTCACCATGGAAAGTTTCACCCATTCATCTGTAAATATTTCTTCCTTAACTTTTCAGTCCCAGGCATATGTACTTTTTAAAGGATCCGTTTACAAACAGGCACTTTGGAATATGATGTGACCTATATTTTTATATGCCAATCAAACACCTTAAGAGTGGTGGGTCAACATCCTGCTGTCCGCCTTTACTACCCAGGACTATGTAAAAGGCATCCATTTTTGGCTGGGTCCACATGGGAGTCGAGGTGAATTTTGAAAACAATCCGCAATGATGGGGATTTGAATTCAAGACCAGAAACAACACGCCCATTCATTGTCATTACCAGAAATCAGAACACTTATCAAAGGACAATACAAGGGATTGTGGAGAGAACAAACTAACAGTAAACATCCACAAGACCCCATCAGCAGACTCAACAGAAAGCAACATACAACAATTTTCCGTCTACAAACAGGACACTGCAGGCTCAACTACCACATGTATAAAATAAAGATTGTACAGTCCCCGCAGTGTGCCTGTCAAACAGGACCCCAAACACCTGAGCACATTTTGCAGACCTGCCCACTCTACCTGCAACTTCGAAAAGACACCTGGCCTCAAGAGCAAAGTGTGCAGAGCAAGCTATGGGGAACCATGCAGGACTTGCAGCTGACATGCGAGTTCATAGAGGCAACCCACCTGATGGTCTGATCTGAGCATTTGAAACCGAACGCAAAGAAGAAGAAGAATTCAAGACCTTCAGGCCAGAAATGAATTGTCTGGTCTAAAACAACTTTAAACTGTTTATACTCTATTCCCACAATAAATGAATGAATCAAGAAATGACATTACTGCGCCTGGGAGATTCCCACATGTGCTCCGTCCACTTCTTCAGAAGTCAAGAAAGAGTCGATATGCTAATAGTACCAATGGCAACCTCACTAAAAGTCTGCCTATGTTTCCCCCTCAGTGTTGAATATCTTCCAGAATCTCTACTCCCCCCCCCCCCCCCTTCCTCTCACTTTTTCCTTTACTGAAATAGTCTTTCAATGTATGGAGTTTCTGTCTGTTCTATTGCATTGTCCATTTGATCACAGGGAGCCTCAACCAATTCCACTTTATCATCAAGTAGCTCATTGCACAGAGGAGCAGCCGCAGCTGATCTATAAGCACCTACTGGGGAATAGTGGGTTAGTGACATCTGAAAGTGATCTGAGTTGACACCCACCCCTCCCCCCAACCCATACGTAAAAATGGGGTCCTAGAACCCACAGGGTCCCATCTCAAAGTGACGCTTACCTGGACCTGCGGTTGCTGATGCTGCTGCGATGACTGCTGGAGATGGTGGGCCGCTGTCATGTGCTGTGGTGGAGCCATGTTCCTCAATGTGGCTGTCATAAAGCCTGGAAGTTGTAAACAAATCATCAGTCTGGGGGTATGGAAGAACAGAAACACAACACTGCAAACATACTGTCCTTATTGTAACTTTATTGTAAGAGGTGCTGGGTCAAGCCTATATGGCCCCCTCAAGTTACACTGTATGGGTTTCAAGTTAATGGATGGAGTCATATGATCCCCAAGTTAGATGATGGAGTCACAATGATCCCCAAGTTCAATGATGGAGTCACAATGATTCCCCAATTAGCTGATAAAGTCACAATGATCCCCAAGTTCAATGATGGAGTCACAATGATTCCCCAATTAGCTGATCAAGTTACAATGATCCCCAAGTTACCTAACAAAGTCACAATGGTCAGCAATTAGCTGATCAAGTCACAATAATTTCCAAGTTAGCTGACAGAGTCACAATGATCCACAAGTTAGCTGGCAGAGTCACAATGATCCCCAAGTTAGCTGATTTCCAAGTTAGCTGAGAGAGTCACAATGATCCCCAAGTTAGATGACAGTCACAATGATCCCAAAGTTAGCTGACAAAGTCACAATGATCCCCAAGTTAGATGACAAAGTCACAATGATCCTCAAGTTAGATGACAGTCACAATGATCC